TGTATATATATATATATATATATATATATATATATATATATATACACACACGCACTATATATTACCCTTTAGAACTACTTTTCCTCCCTTTCAAGTTATCTATATTATTCATTTTGAAGTAATTTTAGCAAGATAAAATTTACTTTCGAACCGTTGGTGGAAGAAAGGCAGTTGAATGAATGAGTTAAATGAATTAATTAATAAAGAGAAAATAAGGATGGGGCTGTTGGGCGGCCCAGTGCGGAGACGTGGAACGCAGTTACCTCGCCCCAGTGCCTTAGAGAAGACGTTAACAACCAGCCTCTGCAGCCCTGGGACACACACCTATAGTCCGGCTCTCAGTCACCATTCCTTACGCCTTGAGAATCTTTCCCAGAGAGGCTGCAAACAGTGAAATGACTATTTCTTCCTAAAGTGGTAATGACGACCCAGACTTTGAAGTACTGACATTATCGGCGAAAATAGAAGCTTAAGATCATTGCAAGTAAGCGCTTGGAAGGCAGTAGGAAGAGGGGCGGAGCCATACACTTTGCACAGCAAGAAGAACCTACCCAAGATGATTTAAAAAGTAGAAATCATGCAGGTTTTAAGGCGCATTACAACCAGCGCCCCCCTTGGTAGGCTTGAAGGAGAACTAGAGTCCCCTTGCCTTTCTTTGAGGCAGGTTGAACCCCTCCCAGCCCCAGCTAAGGGGAGATAACAGGGAGAAGCACCACCAGATGTCTGCTATCCACCCAGGAAGTAGTGGAGTCTGAGCGAGTGTTCCCTCCCCACCCCCACAACCTCAGGCCCCAGCAAGCGGCCGAGGACTCACCTCAGAGCAGAACCACGGCTTGTGGACCATCTTGTCTCCCTGGCGTTCCTGCCCTCTCTCCGGACAGGCAAGCAGTGCTGCCAGCTCAGCCCTGCTGCAGGCTATGCTTCCTGCTCGCTGCAGTAACCAGACTGGCTTCTAAAGACAGCTCTGAGCATTTCCCTACAAAGAGACCACAAACGTCAAGTGTGAGTGGCTTATGTATGTGTCTGTTTTTCCTTCCGGTTGCTGTGAAATGATGTTGTCTCTGTTCGTTTCCTCTCTGTGCCTCTGCTTTTTTTTTTTCTCTGACAGACCTTCTGAAGCACTGAAGCTGAAGATGCTTTGTAGTTTAGGGACAGGTAAGAAACCTAGTCCTAATCTCTACCATTTTCTAATTTTAGAAAGATGGGTGATCTTTTAATGCTAGTGGCAGTAACATCCTCTAGAATGTATTTTCTAAGTGCCATAAGCTCCTTTCTAGACTGCACTGAGGCAAACACTTCAAGGCCACCGAATGGAGATTTCGAGATTTTATGGACTCAATATGTTCCAAAGGGTTCTACTATAAATTGACACAAAACATTCTTTCTTTTGACAGATATTTATTGAGCTTGTACACTGTAATAAGCACAATGCTAGGGACTAGGTACTCAGTTTACAATGCAGTACGGAAGACTTGAAGCCTTGGTGGCCCAGTGGTTAAGAGCTCGGCCACTAACCAAGGTTGGCAGTTCAAATCCACCAGCGCTCCTTGGGGCAGTTCTACTCTGTCCTGTAGGGTCTCTATGAGTCGGAATCAACTCGATGACAATGGTTTGTTTGTTTGTTTACTTGGGAAGACTTAGGAGTCCCTGGGTAGCCCAAATGGTTAAGCACTTGGCCACCAACTGAAAGGTTGGTGGTTCAATTCCACCCAGAGGCACCTCAGAAGTAAGGTCTGGCAATATACAATTCTGAAAGATCACAGCCATTGGAAACTCTATGGAACACAATTCTACTCTGACACACATGGGGTCGCCATGAGTCAGAATCGACTTGATAGCAACTGGTGGTGGTGTTGGTATGGAAGCCTAGATTTGAGTACATGGAAGGGAATTTAAAAGCCGTACTTCCAAATCCTTTGTCTTCTTCCACTGTGCTTTCGAGTAGCAGACAAATGGATAGGCCTTGAGATGAACCACCTGGGTTTGAATTTGTGCCTCAGCTTCCTCATCTGTAAAATGGGAAGTTGCTAACTCACAGGACTGTTGTGAAAATAGAATAAATTAATATCTGTAAAGGACTTAAAGGGTGCCCGGCACAGATAAATAAGCACTACGTAAGTGGTGCTATGAGTTGGAATCGACTCGATGGCAACGGGTTTGGCTTGGTTTTTATTATTGTCATTAGTGTCAGTTTTGTATTATTAATCAGCTCAAGATTTTTGCCTTTCCCTTCTCTTCCTCACTTCCCACCCTTTCCTGGTGCCTGGGATGTAATTTGGGACAGAAAGTGTTGAGGAGAAAGAGACAGTTTGAACAACTACTGCTCCCAGATGGTCCCCTGGTGCCCACGCTCCTGCTCTGGTCTGTTCCACCACCCAGCTCAGGAAAGGACCGTCCTGGGTCCTGCCCCTCAGCTTCACACTCTGCTCATGCTGTCTGCTGCACTTTTGTGACTTCGGAGTTGTGTTGTTTTGTTTTAATTTCCTTTAAGACTTCTCTGAATTTCAGATGGATTTCGTTTATTTCAAAATGTTTGAGCCACTCTGAATCTTGTTAAGGAATGCTCCGCCCATAAGAAGATGCCACACTTAAACAAACGATCCCACGCTCAGCTCGATAACCTGTGCAACTGGGACATATAAATCAAGCAACATGAACATCTATATTCATCATCGTATGTATATTACATTTGTAAGTGTAGCTAGAAATATTCATGGTAAAAATAGCATCAGGATACTCTATTTTTTCTTTCTTTCCTTACAAATCATTCTTGAGGAAATATATGTGTCAGGAACTATTCCAGATTTGAAGTAGATTATTTTATTTATTCCCAAGTTTTTATTTTGTAGTGTGGAGTATTCATTGGAAATGGATGGTGGTGGAGAAGACATCCAGACAGTACAGATTTCTCCAAAATGTCCTTCTATGCATATCCCATTATGCCATATCAGGTAAGGTAATATTTTCTATGTTAGGATTTTAAGCAGTATAAATTTAAATGCATAAATTTTAGGAAAAAAAAATTGCAGTTACATAGTGTGATGGATTGAATTGTGCCTTCAAAAGATGTGTCAGCTTGACTTCCCAGTGTTGTGTGGTTGTCCTCCATTTTGTGATGTATTGTAAATCCTAGCCTCTATACCTAGGGTTATGGTTCCATTTGGGAATGAGTTGTCCATTATGTTAATGAGGCAGGATTAGGTTATGCTAAAGAGGATTAGGTTACGTTTGTTATGTTAATGAGGCAGGAGAAGAGTGGGATGCAACGCCCTTACTCAGGTCAGAGCTCTGAGTTGATATAAAGGGAGTATCCTTGGAGTGTGGCCTGTGTCACCTTTTATATTACAAGAGATAAAAGGAGAGAGAAGCAAGCAGAGAGACAGGGACCTCATTACCAGCAGAAAGAAGAGTCAGGAGTGGAGCACATCTTTTGAACCCAGGGTCCCTGTGCTGAGAAGCTCCTAGACCAGGGGAAGATTGATAACAAGGATCTTACCCCAGAGCTGATGGAGACAGAAAACCTTCCCTTGGAGCTGGTGTCCTGAATTCAGACTTCTAGCCTCCTAAATTGTGAGACAATAAATTTCTGTTTATTAAAGCCATCCACTTGTGGTATTTCTGTTACAGCAGCACTAGGTAACTAAGACACATAGTATAACTCGAATACTAACACATTAAAGTTGTCTCCATAAGTCAATGGCATTCTATATATACTAAAGAACCTAAGCTTGGGCTTTTTAACAATAAAGTGCTTGATTTGACAACTTTATTATTCTTAATTCTGTTTTTTATCTACATCCTGATGGCATCTTTTCCCACTTAGAGCTGCCTGGAACTTCCATTGTTGAGTTCTTTCTAATGGAGAGAGGGCTTTAGCAGTCCAGGCAAACCAAGGAGCTGAGACTTCGTCCAAAAACAGATCAGGCTTGTTGTAGGAAAACAAGTTAAATATTTTTCCCCCTTGGAAAGACACAGGTTTTCTATCTCTGCTTTTCTACTTACAGTTATAGGTGTTTCCTCTTTTTTTTTTTTTTGCCTGTGTGTGTACGTGTGTGTGTTTTCTTTTTTGTTTCTCCTTCTTGATTAGTGGCTGGTTATGTCACATGTCAACATTTTAACAAACCACAGATTGTTCTGACCAAAAGCAAACAGCTGTAATTTCTAATCACTCGGTCCAATGAAAACAGTGTTTACATGTTCATATTTATTTAAACAGTCTTTCTAGCTATTTTAATTAGCCCCTGCATGCCATCTCAGTTAGCTGGAATCTCAGCACCACAGAATGGTTTATAACTACCTGTTAAGCAGTAGCCAAGCCCCAGGCAACTGTTTTGAATTTGTCATGGTGCTGGTTCAAGGAGCAACTGCTGTATGGAGTGGAGGAAGTGGGGTGGGGGAGAGAGAAGTGGGGAGAATTTGAGAAGATACAGAGAAAATTTGAGATGATAAGAAGGTTGAAAACTCTGTGTCCAAAGTGTGGACCCTTGCTGACTCATTTTCCTGCAGGATAGAAGACAGTATTAGCCATGGGAGATCAGTTGTCCACCCAACCCAATGCCATCCAGTTGATTCTGACTCATAACGACCCCATAGAACAGAGTAGAACTGCCCCATAGGGTTTCCAAGGAGCAGCTGGTGGGTTTGAACCACCAATATTTTGGTTAGCAGCCGGGCTCTTAACCACTGCACCACCAGGGCTCCAGGTGCCCACCGAGGAACTTAAATAAATAAGCTCAGAAGTTGGTTTGGCAAGTTTTTAGAGCAAAGTTGTCTAGTAGTATAGCACGTGCCTCATTCCTGTTCGGGAATGGGAGTGGTTTTCATTTTTAGATGAGGAAATCAGAGCTTAGAAAGATTCGGTGTATTTGTCCATTCAGTAATATTAAGTACCTGTAAACTCCCCAGAGACTTCCTGGGTATTCTTGATAGAAGAAATTTATAGCTTAGTGGGAAGGGGAGGAACCCAGTGAGTTCCTATTAACTGGTTCATTCATGATTTCAAAACCATTCACAGAACATGTACTACGGTAAATGAACAGTGAATTAGAATAAACTCCTTCCCTAAGAGAGATTATAATCTAGTAGGCACAGCAAAATGAACTTTATCCACCCTCCTCTTCCGCTTTCTTGCCACTTACCAAAACCAGTTGTCGAGAAGTTGATTCTAACTCACGGTGACCCCACGCATGTCAGAGCTGATTTTTCAGAAGTAGATCACCAGGCCTTTCTTCAGAGGTGCCCCTGGGTGGACTTGGTCCTCCAACCTTTCAGTTAGCAGCGGAGTCCTTTTCTCTCTCGCTTGTAAGAGGCCATCTCTGCCGTCCACCTCTTCTGTTCAGTCCTGGTGTCTCTGGCCTTTTATTTTGCCAGAACCCCATGACCAGCTATTTCAGCAATGTGTATAATGTTGATTTTCATGTTCTTGTTCTTCTGCCATCTTGGCCCCGCCTCCCAATGTTCTTGTTCTTCTGGTTGTTCACTTTGCTCATTTCTAGCCTTAGTTGGAAGATCAGTCCACTTTCTTTCTTGCTCCAGAGCTACTCAGACTCACTGGGGAAGCCATATATTAAGGATTGAGTTGTGTCCCCCCAAAATATGTGTCCACTTGGCTAGGCCATGATTCCCAGTATTATGTGGTTGTCCTCCATTTTGTGATCTGTTGTGATTATCCTATGTGTCGTAAATTCTAACCTCTGTGATGTTAATGATGCAGGATTAGAGGCAGTTATGTTAATCAGGCAGGACACAAACTACAGGATTAAGTTGTATCTTGAGTCAATCTCTTTTGAGATATAAAAGAGAGAATCGAGCAGAGGAGAAGAAACTCATACCATCAAGAAACAAGAGCCAGAAGCAGAGCGTGTCCTTTGGACCTGGGGTCCCTGCACTGAGAAGCTCCTCGACCAGGGGAAGATTGATGACAAGGACCTTCCTCCAGAGCCGACAGAGAGAGAAAGCCTTCCCCTGAAGTTGACATCCTGAATTCAGACTTCTAGCCTCCTAGACTGTGAAAGAATAAATATCTGTTTGTTAAAGCCATCCACCTGTGGTATTTCTGTTATAGTAGTGCTAGATAAGTAAGACACACTTGTCCTCAAAGCAGATTACCTTCCCTAATGCGGCTGGGTCTCAATCAATCAGTTGAAGACTTTAAAATCCAAAAGGGAGTTTCCCTAGGTTGTGTTCTGCCTCCAGACTACAGATAGACATTTTGCCAGAACATTCTTGTTCTCCACTCTTCTCGTTGCCTAAACTACAGATTTTGAAACGTAAGCCTGCAGGGGTCTCCAGCCTGTCACCTGACTCTCATATCTTGGACTTGCAGTCCCCCACAATCATATGTGCCAATTCCTTGAAGTAAATCTCTTTTTCTCTCTCTCCTATCTGTCTATCTATCTATCTGTCTGTCTATCTATCTATCTAACTATCTTTATCTATGTCTTACTGGTTCATTCCTCTAGAGGACCCTGACTAAAACAGGCACCTAGTAGAGCAAAAGGAAGAAAGACTTTGAATTCTTTTTAAGAGGGATCTGACGGCAAATTTCAAAGGCTCTGATCCATTGGGGGCATTCCCTGCACTCAGGCATCTGGCAAGCACTAATTTCTCCATTCCTTATGCCTTGCTTGCCTATCCTTTCCTGGATGATCTCCATCCTTGACTTCCTAAAAAAATAACTGAGAAAATCTTATTAGTGTTCATTGTTTTGATAATTTTTAAAATTAAATTTTTAATTATACATGAAATTAATTTATTTTGCAAAAAATTAACATAGCAGGTAAGGCCAAAGCGCCTTTTGACTGTGAGCCCTAATTTCAATTTTCTTTCCTGCTCTCCTCACAGTTAAGCACTGCTACCTGTCTGGAATGGATTCCACCAAGACATGTTCCGTGCATTTATATAGATCTATGTAACTGCTGCCAATCTGCAACTGTGCACCTGTACAGCTTCACCCTTGGACATGCTTGTACATACAAACAGAACACGAGACTAAAACCATTCTATCACACCTGGTTTCTGAGGGAACTGGGTAAACTGCCGCTCTGGTTTCACATGAAATCAAGTTTGAAAACAACATGTTATTTACAAGGATATCGACAATAAAACTGCATTGCTATTTTTGGTGGTTGACAAAGTTAGACTTCTCAGTTGTTCAGATTTTTGTCCATTTGTGTTCTATGTATTTTAGAATGTGGATTTATATCCAACTGGTTTGCCTCAAAGTGGAAATTTCTGTATCAAATACCAAAAGTCCACTAGCCATTTAATAAAGTGAGTTCCCTGGATTTTCCTTTTTACTTACACAATAGCCAAATAGTCAAATCAAATCAAACCTGTCCTAAGGCACATGTGCTCTCCGTAATGATGGCCCAACAAAACAAAACATTGCTCAGTCCTGTGCCGTCACTGCGATCGGTTGTGGAGGGGACCATTGTGATCCATAGCGTTTTCACTGGCTGATTTTTGGAAGATAATTGCCAAGCCTTTCCTCCTAGTCTATCTTAGCCTGAAAGCTCCACTGGACGTTCAGCATCTTAACAATACTCACGCCTCCACTGACAGATGGGTGGTGGCTGCCCATGAGGTGCATTGGCTGGGAATCAAACCTGGGTCTCCTGCACGGAAGGCGAGAATTCTACAACTGAACTAACACTGTCCCCTTATAACAGCCTGCGTCTCACAAGGGATTACTCTCCTTTCAAGGGATTAAAACACCAACATGGTCTGTTTATTCCCTTTAGTTTTTATATAATCATTTTACTCTCAGAAAATAGAACTTTAAAAAGAAAATTCAACTTACCTCTCTGCCATTTTCACCACAACTTTTCCTATCATATAACCAAAGCCATGTGTTCACATTTGCATGGAAGGCCAAACACTCAGTCCCTTGGTTCTATCCCCCCGTCCAATTTTGCTTCCCTCTCTCTTCTTCCTTTCAAGGTCAACCGTCCTGAAATGGAAGCCCACACTCTCTGCCATCACTTCCCCACCTCCCCTTCTCTCCTCCCTCCCTGCCTTCCTTCCATTCGAACTTTGGTTCCCAGCCTCCCATCCCACCACTGAACTTGTCCTTGCTAATGTCTTCCATGGCACCCTAATTGATGAAAACAATAGACACTATGAAGTCTTTCTCTCTGCTGCATTTAAAATGATTGATCATTTCTTTGCTCTTAGACCTCTCCTCTCTTTCTTTGGAGACCCTGGGTGGTGCAGACAGGTAAGAGCTCAGCTGTTAACCAAAAAGTTGGAGGTACAAGTCCACCTTAGGAAGAAAGGCCTTGCCATCTACTTCTGAAAAATCAGCTCCTCTAACACACATGGGGACATGATGAGTTGGAATCAACTCCATGGCAAACGGCTTTTTTTGTTGTTGTTGTTGTTTTTCTTTCTTTGGAGGACACCACTTAGCCTTGGTTTGACCGCCTTCACCATTCACCTTCTCCACTTGCTGCTATCCAGGTTTCTCCCTTGGACACCATATGTTTTCATGCTACTGCTCTCTCTGGGTGGGCTCATCTACTCCCCTTTAGGTCAGGGGTAAGCCTTCTCCTTCTGCTCTTCTGTGGTTAATGTCATCACCATACTATTAGTCTCTGTCCCAAAACGTTGCCAACCTTCTTTTCCATGCTTCTTAACGTCAGCCAGTCACCAAATTCTATTTAACAAATAAATTAATAAATCTCAAATCTGGTTGACCAGTTCAGTTTCCTCTGTGCATACCCGTGGCCACTGCCTTAGTTTAGACTCTCATTGCGTGGACCATGACAATTCCTAACTGTTGCAACCCTCTTCTAAACTCTAATCCTGAGCACATGGTAGGTTCTCAGAAGATACTAACTGAATGAACAGCTCCACAGTACTGAATATTCTCATAGACAGATTTTCAAATCTACTCCTGTCACGACCTACTCAAAGACTTGCACCAACTCACTGTTGCCTACAAAATAAAGCTGAAATGGCTTAGTTGGTGAATCTAGTTTCATGCTATCTCCTTAGATTATATTTGACCATGTCCACCTCTGAAGTCTCTAGGTAGTACAAACAGTTACTATACTCGGTGTTAACTGAAAGGTTGGAGGCTTGAGCCCACCTAGAGGCACCTTGGAAGAAAGAACTGGCAATCTACTTCCAGAAAATCAGCCACTGAAAACCCTATGGAGCACAGTTCTACTCCGACACACATGGGGTCAACATGATCCAGGGTTGACTTGACAGCAACTGGGTTGTTTGTTTGTTTTGTCCACCCCTACAGCAACCTTCACACTCCAATCACACTGAACTGCTTACTGTTCCCTAAAAGTTCAGGAATTCTCATGATGACAGCTTGCGAAGGCTGTTCCCCTAACTAGAATGCCCTTCCTCCTTCTTTGGGTAGCCCCTGGCAATGTCCTTCAAGACTCCGTTCTGCTGGCCAGAGCCACCCCTTCCCCTTGCACTCTCACCCAACGGGTCCCACTGCTATTACAGCATTTATCGCATGATATCACCATAGTGTGTCTCCTTCTCCTGGACCTCAGCGCTCTTGAGGGCAGGGTAGAGCAGGTACTGGTGCTTATTCATTTCTGAGACCAAAACTAAAGATTTTACAAAAGTTACAAGGAAGTGTTGCATCAGAATCACTATGAGGCTGGTTAAATACAGCTTCCCTGGCCCAACCCTGGAAGTGCTGAGTCAATTTGCCAGGGGAGTGAGATCCAGGAATACATATGCTTAAGAAGCATCCTAGAGGACTCTTATGTACATGAAAGTTGAGAACACAGCTACAGTACCTAATAAATATTTGATGAACAAAGATGTGCTGGAAAGAACTCAGATGGCTACTCCTAAAAATCTGCTCTATTTCCTTCATTCCTCTGGGGTGTAGTTTGGCTGGGGCCAGACCCAGGGAATTTGGCTCAGCCATGGATCAAAGTGACCTAATAGGAAACAGCCTTGCATTATTCTCTAATCAAGTCATGCAAAGTACCTATTGTCCTGTCCAAGACCAAATAATGTTCAGGGTCATTCAAAGTCCTGGAGATGGTTGGCTTTGATAGGAAGGGCTAACAAATTCTTGCTCAAGTGAGAACTGGTCTTGCTGGCATACTCTGCATTTTTAACTCATCAAAGCCAAGTTCTTAAGATTAAGTGTTTCACAAGTGCCTTCTAATGAGTCACACTGTTTCATTTGCTGTGCTTATCACAGTCTTGGGGACTCGAGTATCAGTTAATAGCCCTGCCTGTTGACATTCAGTGGATTCCGAATGGCCCTTAACAATTTTCAGACTTGAGGTGAGGCTGATGAACCAGTGGGAAAATAGGTATGTCTTGTTTTGGCCACAAGGGCTTTAAAATGTGTTTTTAAATTTCTTCAGTAGATTTGTGAGTTCTATCCACATGATCTTGAGACCTGTGTAAAGCACAATGCCAGGCATAATGAAGACTTTAAAGAATATATACTATACGAATGACCTCAGCACTGCACACAATACCCTCAAAAAATTTGTATTTACCAAAGAACTAAATCTTTTAAAAAGTACATATGGCAAAAGTATAGGAACATACAATCAGAATGTAGTAAAATACAAATACATGTACGTGAGAGGTGGAAAAGAATATAAGTCAGTGGGAGTGATTTGAAATTGGTGGTGCCTTCATGGAGGAGTTGAGACCTGTGTATTGCCTCGAAGAAGAGTCAAGATATAGACTGGCAATTAAGCCACCTCCTAGATAGTTCATGGAGTCCTGGGTGGCATAAACAGTTAAGTGCTCGACTACCAACCCAGAGGTGCTTCAGAAGAAAGTCCTGGTGATCTGCTTCTGAAAGGTCACAGCCTTGAAAATTCTATGGAGCACAATTCTA